AGCTCTTATAAGAATGCCTGGTACATACTAGGCTTTTGGTAACTTCACTAAGTGGATGAAGTGTCAGCTTCCTTAAACTCTAGCCAATTAGGATATTGGATTTTTTTTTTCAGCTCAGTATAATTTACTAAATTAATACAGTTCATTAACTCTCCTTAAGGAAACAGCATCTTATGTTAGGTTCTTCTAGATTTGTTATAGGTTCTGCCAAAATTTTAAACTCATTTTTCTTGAATGTAAAATAGTTGAAAATAGTTTTTGTGTTCTGTTGTGTGTGTGTGTAGAAGGGGCAGTATGAAAGTGTATAATGCACTATTATGAGAACTTAGAATTTTTTTTCTACAGTTCTGGAGTGTATATTACAGAAATAGGAAGATTTAGATCACTAATGAACAAATTAACTTTTATTTTAGCAACATGTTTTAGAGTATTTAATGGTTTTTGTTTTCTGGTGGTATTCTCATTTGCCTAAAGACAACTTTTAAAAACTGAAGGCCGGGCGCAGTGGCTCAAGCCTGTAATCCCAGCACTTTGGGAGGTCAAGACGGGTGGATCACGAGGTCAGGAGATCGAGACCATCCTGGCTAACACGGTGAAACCCCGTCTCTACTGAAAAAATACAAAAAACTAGCTGGGCGAGGTGGCGGGCGCCTGTAGTCCCAGCTACTCGGGAGGGTGAGGCAGGAGAATGGCGTAAACCCGGGAGGCGGAGCTTGCAGTGAGCTGAGATCCGGCCACTGCACTCCAGCCTGGGCGACAGAGTGAGACTCCGTCTCAAAAAAAAAAAAAATACTGAAACTGGATTTTTCAACACATCATTGAGGTATAATTCACATACAGTAAATTGTACATATTTAGTGTACATAATTTTTCCTAGTCAAGAAAGTGGCGAAAATATAATTTGATGAGTTTTGACACACATATACATCTGTAAAACCATGACCACAGTTAAGACAGTAAACGTGTTTATTACCCAAGTGTTTTCCATACCCCTTTGTAATTCCTCCCTCACCTTTTGTCTCCCTCCCCCATCCGTCTGCAACCACTGGTCTGCTTTCTATCAGGGTAGATTTGTTTGATGAAACTGAATTTTAAATTTATTTTTATTTCCGTAGAAACTGGACCAGGATCTTAATGAAGTCAAAGCTCGAGTAGAAGAACTGGATAGAAAATATTACGAAGTAAAAAATAAGAAAGATGAATTACAAAGTGAAAGAAAGTTAGTATTTAGACTAAAATATGCATTAATTTCTTGAATAATATTTGTTACTAGGTGTTATGTAGTCTTTAAGTTACAAATTAACCGGTCAGGCTTGTTTTCTATATTTTGATTCTAAACTGTATACTATTAATGCATCCTCATATGTGTTTAAAATTAAAGACAGTCTAATTTTTATTTATTAGCTACTTGTGGAGAGAAGAGAATGCAGAACAGCAAGCACTTGCTGCCAAAAGAGAAGATCTTGAAAAGAAGCAACAACTTCTTAGAGCGGCAACGGGAAAGGTGGGCAGGTTCTTTTCATCACTTCTGTTTACACTGAGTCATTGAGTTCATCGTTATGTAAGAATTTACTACCTTTCAAGTGTAGGTCATGGGTTCCAAGTGATAAATAGGAGTCCACATTATCTTCTAAATATTAAATGATAGAGATTTAAATAGTTTTATTACTACACATACTATAAATAGTAGCACTTTTGATTTTCAGATAAAGAGCCCATTTTTAACACTACTGTTATAGAACAGAACCTATCATATAAGGTGTTACATGTAGTTGGCATATAGTGAGGAGGTAATGTGTTTGTTGGAGAGGATGTTTAGTTTAATCACTGGTATGTTTTAAAATGTATGTTGTTGTGGTCTCATTCCTTACCAGGAGTTTCATTGGTGATAAAATTTTAATATTTTTCATTTCTGACAATTGACAGGCCATTTTAAATGGAATAGACAGCATAAACAAAGTGCTAGACCACTTTCGTCGAAAAGGAATAAACCAGCATGTTCAAAATGGCTATCATGGCATTGTGATGAATAACTTTGAATGTGAACCAGCTTTCTACACATGCGTGGAAGTCACTGCTGGAAACAGGTTAAAGCTTTTGCTTGATATTTAGCATTTTTAGAAGAGGGAATAAGAATAGCCTAAGAAACTTTTGTAGTTTTTGTGCATCATATCTTCCATTATCTTTTTATACCTCGGTTCCTTATCTGACTTTCTAATTAAAGAAGTAGATGCTAAGTATTTGTTCCTAATTATAGAAGCTAGAACTTTCCCCTTTTGGGAGTTTCTCCTCCGCCATTGGAATTTTTAAAGTAGTCTTATTTTTTTCCAAAATTATTTGGATTATATAGCAAAAAAGTTAATTGTTTGATGCTTAAGTGTTTATAACACTTTAAAAGTGCACATCTTCAGTCCCAGCTATGCAGGAGGCTGAGGTGGGAGGATTGCTTGAGTCTAGGAGTTCAAGATCAGTTTGGGCAACATGGGAAGACCTTGTCTCAAAAAAAAAAAAAAAAAAGTACCAATAAAGATTTGTCTTACTCTCTTTATATTCAGGTTATTTTATCACATTGTTGATTCAGATGAAGTCAGCACGAAGATTTTAATGGAGTTTAATAAAATGAATCTTCCTGGAGAGGTTACTTTTCTGCCTCTTAACAAGTTAGATGTCAGGGATACTGCCTATCCTGAAACCAATGTAAGTCAATGTGTGATAAGGTCTATTTCTCTTTTATAATGTTATTTTTTTGTCACATAGTCTAACACATGCTAGTGCCCAGTCACTACACACTGGGATTCAATGGTCTATGAGATAAAAATACCTGTCTTCCCATGGACCTTAGTGCTGAGTGGGTTTTGGGGAGGGAGACAGAAGTCACAGCCATGATCCGTGGTGTAGTGATGTGCGCCTGTAATCCCAGCTACTTGGGAGGCTGAGGTGGGAGGATCATTTAAAAAAGAGAAAAAAGCCAAGATACGAAACAAATCATTGCAAATGTACAGTGTTAAAAGCGTAAGTACAGGATACTTTGAGAGTATATCTGGGAGTGACATAATTAAGGTTAGGGAGTTGGAGAAAAATTCCCAAGGAACTGTCATGTAAAGATTTAAAGTGTCTTGATATATTTTAAAAACAAATTAAATGAAAAAAATGGCTAGTAAGGTGATAGACTTCAGAAGCATAATATTGCTGTTACTAGCTAGTGAACTTTAAGTGGATTAAAAATATTCTTCAGACACCATTCTTAGAACAGTGTAATTGCTTTGAGGTACTTGGCTTCAGAATGTTGATGGTAGTATCAACTGTTTTACCATCCCCTGAAGTTAAAGCTGAAACCCCATGAGAATGATCAGTAATTTAAGTGGAACATTAAGAATCCTGTAAGCTATCAAAGGGTCTGGCTTTTTCTGCTGTCACATCTATAAATTGTTTTTGAAGTTTGGGTAAGAAAAATTGGGTCTCAAAAACATGATGTATGAATGGAACGAGACACAAAGGAATACATGGGGTGTGGTTCTGTTTACGCTACATAAACAAAACCAAACTTAGATGAGGACGGGGCTTGGTGGCTCATGCCTGTAATCCCCTCACTTTGGGAGGGGGAGGTGGGCAGATCACCTGAGGTTAGGAGTTCAAGACCAGCCTGGCCAACATGGCAAAACCCTGTCTCTACTAAAAATACAAAAAATTAGCTGGACATGGTAGTGGGCAGCTGTAATCCCAGGTACTTGGGAGGCTGAGGCGGGAAAATCGCTTGAACTGGGGAGGCAGAGGTTGCAGTGAGCCAAGATCATGCCACTGTACTTCATCCTGGCAACAGAGCAAGACTCCATCTCAAAAAAAAAAATAGAACTAGGAAATACAAGGAAGTGATTAGCACAGTCATGGCAGTGGTCATTTCTGGCAGGTAACCACCGTAGTTAAATGCTATGTGATTAGGAAAGGAGCACACCCATGGCTTCTGGGGTGTCAGCAGTGCTCTGTTTCTTGTGCTGTGTGATGGTTATGTTGGTGTTCTCTTTATTAATTTACACTGAACACTTAACTACATTTTTCTGTATATGAGATATATTTTCATAATTTTAAAAATTCCAAAAATCCTGTTCTAACAGTTTAGGAGAGAGAAAATGAAATTCTATCTGACAAAATATTTTCCTGAATATCTAATTTAGATATATAAAATATGTAAAAATTAAAACATTGAGGAAATGCTGTTTATATTTAGCCCTTTTATATGAGAGATACTATCCTAAGTTTTGCATATATTAACTCATTTAGGCTTCGCAACTTTATAAGGAAGGTATGTATTGTCTACAATTTTGTAGATGAAGTAACTATTATTTGAGGAAGTTAAGCAATTTGTCCACAGCACACATCTGATAAATGGTGAAACCAGTGTTTGAATTTGGGCAGTCTAACTACAGAACCACTAAACTCTTTACACTATTAGGCTCTACTGTTGAAAACCTTGATTATATGAGCAAAATTACCAGGATATTCTAGTGGAATGAGTCTTCTAACTACTTCAGGAAAAACCCCAATAGTTTTGAAATATAATGGTGTTTGGTTTATTTGTATTTCATAAAGATGTACTTTTGTAATTCTAAGTTTTTAGTGAACTGTGATCTGTTCACAAAATTTCATTTTTAGGATGCTATTCCTATGATCAGCAAACTGAGGTACAATTCCAGATTCGACAAAGCTTTCAAACATGTTTTTGGAAAGACTCTTATTTGTCGTAGCATGGAAGTTTCAACCCAGCTGGCCCGTGCTTTCACTATGGACTGTATTACTTTGGAAGGTTTGTAATACTAATTCTTAGCTTTAAACAGATAAATTCTAACAAATCATTTAAAACATAATCTGGCTGGGCACAGTGGCTCACGCCTGTAACCCCAGTACTTGGGGAGGCTGAGACGGGTGGATCACCTGAAGTCAGGAGTTCAAGACCAGCCTGGCTAACGAGGCGAAACCCTGTCTCCACTAAAAATAACGAAGATTTGCTGGGTATGGTAGTGTGCACCTGTAGTCCCAGCTACTCAGGAGGCTGGGGCAGGAGAATCGCTTGAACGCGGGAGGCAGTGGTTGCAGTGAGCCGAGATCACGCCACTGCACTCCAGCCTGGGTGACAGAGCGAGACTGTCTCAAAAAAGAGAGAGACATATAATCTGTGTAATATGTCACTTGAGCTATATGCATGTCTGATGAATATATCTTAACAGTATTTTGGAGGGATTCTGGTTTTGAGAGTATTCGAAAAATTCATCCTTTGCCTTTGGCTGGGTGTGATGGCTCACATCTGTAACCCCAGCACTTTGGGAAGCCGAGGCAAGTGGATCACTTGATGCCGGGAATTCAAGACTAGCCTAGCCAACATGGCGAAACCCCATCTCTACTAAAAATACAAAAAATTAGCTGGGTGTGGTGACGTGCGCCTGTAATCCCAACTACTCAGGAGGCTGAGGCATGAGAGTGGCTTAAATGCGGGAGGCAGAGCGTGCAGTGAGCCAAGATCACACCCCTGCACTCCAGCCTGGGTGATAGAGCAAGACCCTGTCTCAAAGAAAAGAAAAGAAACATTTATTTTCAATTATTTTATCGTTTTTTAAATAGTTGGTTTGTTCAATTAAGAGTCCAGACAGGGTTTGTACTTGATACTTAGTTGATGTCTCTGAAATGTAATCATTTGGTATGTAGCAGGGGTTCTTAACCTTTTTTGCAGTGTGGACTGCTTTGGCTATTTGAAGCCTATGGATACTTCCTCACAATTTTTTTTTTTTTTTTTACTTTTTTTCTTTTCTACAACAAAAGCCACATTCAACACAATTTTTAATGCTTAGAATAAAATACTTTGGATCACAAAGATGTATTGGCAAGATTATTTTAAAAATATATAATTTTTTGGCTGGGCGTGGTGGCTCATGCCTGTAATCCCAGCACTTTGGGAGGCCGAGGTGGGTGGATCACGAGGTCAGGAGATCGAGACCATCCTGGCTAACACGGTGAAACTCCATCTCTACTAAAAATACAAAAAATTAGCCGGGCGTAGTGGCGGGCGCCTGTAGTCCCAGCTACTCGGGAGGCTGAGGCAGGAGAATGGTGTGAACCTGGGAGGTGGAGCTTGCAGTGAGCCGAGATCGTGTCTGGGATCTCGTGTCTGGGATCACTGTGTCTGGGAGACACAGTGAGACTCTGTCTCAAAAAAAAAAAAATAATAATAATAATTCTTTAATGTATTCAAAAAACAAGATTTAGTAGTGGGTCTAATAACTACCATAAGTTTGAAGTACTGATACATGTAAACTATTTTGAGATCTGATAAGTGTAATCTGATATGAAAATAGCTCTTCTTTTGGTAAAGTCACAGGTACTAATACTACTACTGTGGTTCTTTGTCCTGTTCATTATAGAAGGAAATGTTAAATCTCATTTTGAGGTTAATAAAAATAAAGATGTAAATTTTTTTCCTATTCGAATCACAGATCTTCTGAATTTTATCTTTGGAATTCAGGTTAAGAAACCTCCAGTATATAAGTTTACCTGCCCTCAATTTTTTTTTTTTTTCTCTTTATTTATTTGTTAAAGAAAGCAGGTAAACCCGTCTCCCCCCAAGCTTTGTTTCTGTATATGTACATTTTGTTGTGGTTTTGAACCATCTGAGAATAAGTAAAACATGACACTTCATCTCTAAAATTTAAGCATGGGTCTCCTAACAATAAGAACATCCTTTTGTATAGCCACAGTATCATTGTTACACCTAAGAAATTTAACATTAACCTAATATCTTCTAAAAGTATCCATATTCAAACTTTGTTTTTCTAAAATATTTTTCTATCTAGGATTCAATCAAGTATGCATGTAGTGTCTTCTCTTTAGATTCTTTAAATATAAGACAGTTACCCTTCCCTTCTCCCCACCTAGAAAAATCCAGAAAAGTTCCATTTTCTGGATTTGTCTTACTGCTTCCTCATCGTTTATTGTTGACATGAATGTATATACTTACGGTGTCATATAATGTGTCTCATTGTTAGCAATACTAGGTTTGATCACCTGCAGATCTCTCCATTGTAAAGGTACCCCTTTTGCCCCTTTGTAGTTTAATAATATGTGAGATTATTCTTCAAGACTACATGAATGTCAGGTTCTCCCAACAACTTTACCAGTTGCTTTAGCACCTTTGTTGCCTCTTGCCTGAATCAGTTATTACACTGGGAGTTTAAAAATGGTGATTCTTGAATTCTGTTATTGCTACTGCATTTATTAGCTGTCACTCTTCTGTAGAGAAGAGTCTCCACTTTTCATTTTTTTAAAAGTATCACTGTGATTCATGGATTATTTTTTAAAAAATAAAATGTGTTATTATACTGGTATTGTTACTTTGATGCTCAAATTTTCCTAAATAGGGCCAGTGGAAATTTCAGGCTAGGTCCTGTGTCCTACTAATATGTCCTCATTAGTCTTCAATACTTCCTTGCTCTCTGGTAGACGTTCAGATTCAACTGCGAGTTTTTGTTAGAAAAAAAAAAAAAAAAAAAAACTGCGAGTTTTGTCTGGGCACAGTGGC